AAAATTGGTTAACTCCGAATGATAAAAATGATTTTCTCGAATTAGCGAGCTACTTCCGACGTTTCGTAAAGGATTTTGCGAAAGTTGCACGACCACTACATCAAATCACGTGAAATGATCGAGCGTTTATTTGGAATGAGTTGTGTTGAAGCAGCTTTTGAACGACTAAAAAAAGATTTATGCGAAGCCCTCTTGTTAGCATATCAAATCCGAGGTAAACCATTTGTGCTAGATACGGATGCAAGCAACGGATTAGAGCGGCTTTGTCACAAATTGTTTACGGAGAAGAAAAGGTTTTGGTCTATCACAGTAAAAGTTTTACAAAGCCTGAACGTAACTACTGCGTGCGTAACCAGAAAAGAGTTGCTAGCGATGGTCAGGGTAACAAAACATTCCCACAAGTATCTCTATGGACAAAAATGGCGTTAAAGTGGTTGCTCAATTTCAAAGATCCAGAAGGACAAGTGGCACTATGATTGAAACGATTACAAATGTACGACTTTGAAATTATGCACTGTAAAGGGACCTCCCACAACAATGCCGATGTTCTTTCTCGACGACTCTGTTTACTAGGTCAAGATGTGTTGCAAATATGCAATCTGGTAAACAGTCGACTGGAAGAGAAAATACAAATTACAAAAAATGTTCTAAAAGTTACGATAACGGCAGATACAGGATGGACTCCGAAAAAACTGGCAAGCGCTTACATTGTCATTGCATGGAAGAAATCAGGCCAGCGACTCGAATGGCAAGACATATCTGAATTTGGTAGGTTGTTGAAAAACTACTGGGCTCAGTGGGACTCGTTGCTTTTGGAAGATGGGTTGCCTAAACTGAAATGGGAATCAACAGATGGATGCATACAGATTGTGGTACCAAGGAATAAAATCGTTGAAAAACTACTGGGCTCAGTGGGACTCGTTGCTTTTGGAAGGTGGATTGCCTAAACGGAAATGGGAATCAACAGATGGATGCATGCAGATTGTGGTACCAAGGAGTAAAATTGTAGAAATTTTTATAGAAATGCATGGTGGCTCATCAGAGTGACATCTTGTAGTTAATAAGACGCTTGATACAATACGTGAGAGGTTTTACTGGGTTAATGCTCGAAAAGATGTGAAAAGTTGGTGTCGAAAATATAATACATGCGCAGCATTGAAAGGTTCCAAAAGGAGGTTACGAGGAAAAATGCAAATCTATAATGTTGGTGTTTCAACTTTCGAAGAGTTGCCAATGACAATTTCGGATCATTTCCTCATTTCCTGAATCAAATGTTGGATACCGTTACATTCTAATAAATCTTCGTTTAGCGTCCAGAGACCCAGTTCCCCGAGGTAGGACGTTGTTTTCTTTTCCATCAACTTTTGCGCCAAATTAGACGATCAGTTGTATTCATTTCATTTCAAGTCGAACAAGATATTCTGGAATGAGTTGTCGAAGTAGACTCCATCTGATTGCTTCACGGGGAACCCGATCAAATGCTTTTTCAAGGTCAACAAAAATGTGTGATAGTTGTTAATGGTTTGCGAGGTGCTTCTCTTGCAGTTGCCGAAGAATGTGAATTGCACCAATTGTTGATTTCCCCAATAGGAAATCAAATTGATAATTTCCGATTGTGATGCACGACGTTAATCTTCTCTCAATGATTTTCTCGACAATTTTTAGGGAGTGTTCTAACGGTCGTATACCCCGATATGATGAACAGTTCAATGGATCACCTTTGCCTTTGTATAGCGGAACTGTCATGCTATAGATTATATATATTATACAGTATTGTTTTATCTAATAATTCAAGCGAATTGTTGGCATTAACCAATTTAGTTTGTCTTTTTAATTTTCCTTACTAGAATTTACTGGAAATTATTCAATTTATTAAAAATAATTTATTATCCAAATTCATCATGCAAATTTATTAAAAATAGAACTATTATTATCTAAATTCATCATGCAGATAGGGCTATTTTTGTTTTTGAATTTGGAAAATAATTGTGCATGATGGGTTTATAAAAATTAAGGGAATATATATATATATATATATATATATATATATAGCAACAGCAGTATATATACATACATATATGTATGTATATATACATTCATTTCAAGTACAAAAAAATAATTCTTCCACAACTTACTACACTTGAAGCTGTTGCTATCCAATTTTGGGTCAACGGAAGTACATTCATTCTGATTGCTATATATCGACCTGGCTCAGCACAACTGTCTGTTTTATTTTTTCAAGAACTGGTTTTAGTTTTAGAGCAGATTACAGTCTTGGGTTCTAACGTTTTGCTCATGGGAGATTTTAATGTACATCTCGAAAGAACTGATGATCCATATTCCATCCGATTGGGTGAGGTATTTGAAACCTTCCAGTTAGTCAACCACATTAACGAACCAACACATGTGTTGGGTGGTACTTTGGATTTGGTAATCAGTTCTTGTGACTTTCCTGTTACCAACATAAAAATATTTCCAAGCGGTGTGATGTCTGACCACAGTTTAATAACAGTTGAAACATTGATTCAGACATTTCGTAAAATAACTGCGAGACATGTCAGGTCATGGAAAAGTCTGGACGGAAATCAACTGACTAGGGCTGTTTTGGATTCTCCAGTCTCTGGGCCTTGTCAGAGTAACGATGTCGAGATTGAATTAAAAATGTTTAACGACGAGTTAAAAAAAATTGTCGACAGACTTGGCCTTGGCGTTTGATTTATAACAGAGGAGAGAGTATGGCACCTTGGTTTGATGATGATTGTCGACGGACTAAACTAACTTGCAGGCGGATGGAAAGGTCATATAGAAATCACTCGACGACTGATCATCGAAATGACTGGTTGGTTTCTTTGTCAGAAAGAAATAAACTTTATTCTAAAAAACGTTCAAGTTACTGGAAAAATTTGGTCAAAGCTAACAACAAATCCAAAAATTGCTGGCAGATTGTGAACAGGGTTTTGTGTAGAAATAAACAAAGTAATAAATCCGATGATTAAAAGCTTCTCAATTCATGCAGTTCTTCACAGACAAGATCAACAAGATTATAATGTCTACCAACGTTTTGGTTCCGTCAGCACATCACAGTCATGTTACAAATCTTGTTTCATTGGCAGATTTTCCAGAAATAACAGAAACCGAACTTAAAGGCATCATAATGAATTCTCCTTCAAAAACAAGTTCACAAGATATTTTTCCGACGCATATTTTTAAGAAATATATACACTTGTTTATCTGCTTTCTTACAAGTTTTTTCAATCTCTGCCTGAGGTTGGGTAAATTTCCTGCTGGGTTCAAACATGCTACAGTTGTCCCGATTTTAAAAAAAGCCAATGGTGATGTCAACGATGTTGCAAGCTACAGGCCGATATCCAACCTTCTGTTTATCTCAAAGATCATGGAGCGCGTTGTTCTCAAGTTTTTGTTGAATCATCTAACAGAAAACAATTTAATGCCTCTCAATCAATCAGGATACAGGAAGTTTCATTCAACCGAAACTGCATTATTGAATGTCCTATCAAGTTTATTCGCCGCTGCAGATGCTCAGAGAATATCATTACTATCGTTTTTGGATATGTCGGCAGCGTTCGACTGCGTCAACCATGATGTTCTTCTGGCAAAACTGCGTCAGAATTACGGGGTAACGAATAATGTATACAGATGGTTTGAATCATACTTATCAAATCGGACACAACAGATTTCATTTAATGACTCAGTATCAGAGGTTTCCATCATAACGTCAGGGGTACCTCAAGGCTCAGTTTTGGGACCCGTTCTTTTTCTCCTGTACACGTCGGAAATTACCAAAATAATCAGCTCCTACGGATATGTCTGCCATGCATTTGCGGATGATATTCAGGTGCTGGTTACTAGTTCTCCTTGTTTGTTTAAAACTGAAGTTGAGAGATTTATCGGATGTTTATCAGAGGTAGGACGTTGGATGTCATCAAACTCGTTAAAACTAAACGAATGCAAAACTCAATTACTTCCGGTTGGAACGTGGCAGCAATTGCTGAAAATTGATTTTAGTTCTGTTAAAATAGGAGATGTTGATATACCATTAGCTGATACTGCTTCCAACCTGGGTGTTTTGCTTGACAACAAGTTATCAATGAAAAATCACATCAAAAAGATCTGTACATCAAGTCTTATCCACCTTAGAAGCATGTATAAAATTCGACATTCGTTGGATAGAACTACTTTGGAAACGTTGGTCCACGCCTTCATCACATCTCGTTTGGACTACTGCAACAGTTTGTTCTACAAATTGCCGGAATCATCAATTGCCGTCCTTCAGTCGGTGCAGAACAGAGCTGCAAAACTCGTTGCTGGTGGTTTGAAGTATGATCACGTGACACCGATTTTGAATGAACTACACTGGTTGACAATTAA